CCTGCTTGTGCTGGTATTCATCGGACTATGTCACAGTCCACTCCCCTCCTCTCTGCGCCTCTCCGCTCGTCACTCCAAATCCCTTTTGGAGGGTGAATTGCATATGACTGGCCCAACGAGTACCCTCGCAATCCCCCCACTGTTGATTCTCAGCCGCTCCATTCGATGCTGTCGTCCCCCACACCTGTAATCTCCGCACAGAGACATGGCTCGGAACAACCTCACTGGAAGCATCCCTGAAACCCTTGGCAACCTGCAAAACCTGGTCTACTTGTGAGCACCAACGCTTTACTGGGGAGTGAAGAGGGATGGGGTGGGCAGCAGTGATGGTGAGCCAGATAAGAGATTCTGTCAGTGTGGTGGGAGAGATGGGAAGAAACAGGCAGGGGGGCGGAGGGCGATTGACCAGATGGGCTTACGGGGGAGCTCAAGTCCAGTGGAACATGCTTTGCGCCAGGTGGTGAGGCAAGTGAAGCGAGTGGAGCTATCGATTGATGTTGATTGGGTGCCCTTTTCCTTCCCATTCCCCCCATTCACCCACTCCCTCATCCGCCCATTAACCATTCCCGACCCTCTTGTGTTTGCGCATCCCAACCTCATCAGGTCTCTGAGGGGCAACGAGTTGACGGGAAGCATCCCATCATCGCTGGGCGACTGTGCTCGTCTAACGGATCTGTATGCAAAATGAATGCACACATAGCGGCACGCAGAGAGGGCACGCAGAAAGGCATGCGTAAAGGCTTGATGTGCATATCGAGTGAGAATTATCTTCCTTCATGTACCCCCCAGACATTCACTAACTGTCGCCCCTCGAATGTGTTGATATTCCTCGGACTTTGACTTACCCTTCAGGCCTTCATGTACTGTCACTGTCCTCTCCCTCCCGCTCTGCCACATCCGCTCATCATTTTACTCCAACCTCCTTCTGCCAGCGTGTTTTACATATGCATGGCACTGTTCACCCTACTCGCACTACCCGTATCTCAACAAGAGAGCAGCTTCTCCTAGTCCCCTACCTTACACACTTCTCGTTCAAGTTCTTCTCAGCTGCTTCGCCAATGCTTTCGTCCCCCATGTAACCTCCGCACAGGGACATTGCTCAGAACATGCTCACGGGAAGCATCCCTGCAAACCTTGGCAACCTGTGGGAACTTCGAAACCTGTGAGCAACAATGCTCTACTGGGAGTGCAGAGGGGGTGGGTAGTGATTGTGATGGTGGCCCAGATAAGGGACTCGGTCAGTGTGATGGGAGTGATAGGAGGAAAGGGGCAGGGAATAGAGGACGTTAGAAGGGGTTAGTGGGGAAGCTTTTGTCGCATGGGGCATGCTTTGCGTCAGGTGTTGAGGCAAGTGTAGGCACTGAAGGTGTCCATGGGCGGATGCCCTCCAGGTGGCCCCATTATTCCCAGGTGCCCTTGTCACTTCGTTGGCTCATAGACCGAACTCAGAGGCTCAACACACTTTTATTTTATCTTTTGGCCACTCTTGTAGAAGCTCAACAAAACTGTGCCCTTCGTAGAAGCCCAATGACGTCTATTGCCGCCTTGCCGATGTGTTTTTCTTGCTGTTAGAGAAGGCATCACAACATAGAGAGGAGATTATAGTCACTGAGTAATCACTTATGCATGCAGGAACACGTTTCAGAACATGTTGAGTGGTTCGCTGCCCTTGGAGCTTTCTTCACTGCAGAAGCTGGAGTTCTGGTGAGGGTCGTGTGAAGGTCTGGTGACATGTTGTCATGCAGCTTAGAAGGTCGCTTTGGATGGCTCTGTGGAAAGGCGAGCTGACGTAAGTGATGTGAGTCAGGGTTCATGGCCACTCCCGCTTTTTTTCACTGCACAGCCCGTTCTCTGCCCTCCTCTCTTTGTTCGCATGCCAGGGACATGAGTAAAAACCAGCTGGAAATGGAGGTGCCTGCATGGATTAGCAGCATGACGACCTTGAGCTACCTGTGCGTGCCGCCATGCACCACACTGCACCGCTTTGTATCGTGCTCCTGCTCATTCTGTGAATGGACCTTGCTTGACTACACGACAATCACAGGATCAAAACATTTATTTTTATCAGATCGACCTACACCAACCCCTGTCAGCACTGTCATCTTTCACTTCTCCTGTCCGTTTCTTACCACACCTCCTTTATGTGTGTTTCACCTGTATAGTGGTGATTCATGTCAACCTCTGTCAGGTGAAGCTTTCACCATTTGCCTCCCGTCCCTTTATTACAACACCTCGTAATTGAGTCCTAGTTTGTCCGTTTCTAACCCTCTTCGCCCATTTACTCATATTTCTTCATGTGAACCCCTGAAACACTTTGTGTTCCAGTCGAGGGCAGTGTCACCACTTTAGGAAATATTCTTTCAGATATTTTGTCTCTGTCTCTGTCTCTTTCTGCATCCACCTTCCATTAATCCCTCTCTGGCCTTCACTTTCCATTCTTCCTTGCAATTTCCCTCTTTCGTTTGATTTTCTCTGGTTCTGTTTTCATCCCAACAGTCTATCCCTTCCCCTCTCTTGTTTGTCATCTCCTGCCCCTTTTGCCAACCTCAGTAACCTCGGTTACAACAGCTTCAACAGCCCCATCCCAGAGACGCTCGGTGATATACACAACTTGATACATTTGTGCGTAAGCTGTGGGGCAAAGCACACATGGTGTGATGGAGTGAAGAGTGGAGTGGTCACATTGGCTGCTGCTTCCTTCACTGAGCAAGGGAGAGTGAGGGAATAGGGTTGCAAGGGTTCTCTTGGAAAAGAACTGACCTGTAATGGGTGTCAGAACTTAGGCTTAGAACTGATACATTAGTAGTGAGCTCAAAGCTCTTTAAGTACATCAGGAATGAGCAAGGTATGGATGAGGAGGGAATCAGGGGGCAATCCTAGGGAATCAAGGGTAATCCCAAGGCAATCTCCAATTGGTGGGTTGGAGATTGCTTGGAGATTACATTTGGGTTTGGTTGGGATGTGGGTGTACACCCAACCAAACACAAAGTGCAAACTACACTAAACTAGGATATAAAAGTACAAGTACAAAATGTGAGATTGAGGACTAACACCAACAATGGGGTCCGTTGTTCTGGTAAGTTGCAGCCACCCTGGTCATCACAGTCCCTTCCCCTTTATGACTTCTCTGCACCTGCTTCCTTTCATAATTTCCGCTACGCATCACATTTGCCACTCCAACAATTTTCTTATGTTGCATCCCATACGGTTTTCCCCACGTCACTCTCTTGTTCCACTTATCCTTCCCCATACCCACCATCTCTCAGCAACCTCCAACACAACTTGCTATCGGGATCTATCCCCGAAACATTTGGAGATTTGACTGGCTTGGAATCACTGTGAGAATGCAGCCTGCACTGGGCTGTCCTAATCTGATGGGTATACGAGCCTAGACGTAGAAGAAATTGAGAGTCTGCCGCAGGCTTAGGCCTAGCCTTAGGCCTCATTGGCCTGGCTGTAACGCATAAAGTATCCAATGTCAGCCGCAGAGAAGAAAGAGAAACAGCTGTGAGATGCCATGGCCAGACTAGGTTTTTAGTTTGGATTTCATATATATACAATTTCTGTTGAAAGGAAAACACCATAGTAGCTCAGGCACTCTAGTCGCTTCCCGCAAAATGCTTCTGTTCTGTCGCATCTCATGCCAATGCGTGCCATCTCATGTTACCACATGGCAGTTCATTGGAGCACAACTACCTGAGTGGCACCATTCCTGCCTCCCTGGTTAACCTCAACCGACTCAATACCCTGTGCGCCCAAGCTCGCTCCCTATCCTGCTTTCCCTCCAATGCAATTTCCGCTTTGATCTCTCACAAACACAGGAAGAGATACTGGGGTTTTATATTATATAGGCTGGGAAATCACGTATAAGTCTGCCAGTTTTATCCATTCCCAAACGTGATAGAGGAGGATTTATGTTGCTCCCACAAAGCAATAATTTTCGTTCTCATATTTTTCCCTGTTTTGTCCAAACATCTCATATCTCCCAAACCATCCAGGATTTTGTCCAAAAACCTCCTTGGGGGAGCGATACCTGCAGCATTCAGCACACTCACTCGCCTCGTGTACCTGTAAGCACGCACCCACTACCTCGTCTCAACATGCACCTTCCATTAGAGGCCGGTGGCCAACTGGTAAGAAACAGTGCTACCCTCCAAGCTGTGCCCACAATTCTCCTCTCATGGAGTGCCAGGGCGGGTTTGATTCTTCCTCAGAGCATGGAGCACTGCCTTTCCCGTCTCCATCAGAACACTCAATCACCACTCAACAAATTGCTCTCAACCCTCAAGAAACTGGTTTCGCACTTTCTTCCCAGGCACCCTGTTTCAATGTCAACCCTCTCACCACCTCCCACTCCCCTTCATGACTCCCTGATGCCACCCACTCACCTCCTTTTCTCACTCATTGCCTTCTCTGTTGTACGACACATTCCCTCTCGCAGCATTATGGACGGCAACCAGGTGGTGGGGCAGCTGCCTTCTCTGAAGGGCATGGCAGCGCTTAAGACTGTGGCTGCACGTAACAATTATATCACAGCTGTAGCGGAGGCACCTCCTGCATGCCCCATGTACCAGCTACTGCTCGACTTAAACTGCTTTGCCGAAAGCCTCACCATCTGTGAGGAACAGCAAGTCCAGAGGGAAGCTGGTTGGTGCAAGTGATTCTGTGGGGACGAGCCCTCAAGCCCACCTTGCAGCGGCCATGGAGTCTGCTTCTACATTCCCGAGATTGCATCTGCTCCAACCTGCTCTTGCAATTACGGTTACACCAGTGTAATTCCTGCCACCTGCAGCCCTCAAGGTGAGGCAAGGAGGTGCTGCCTTTCATGCTGATTGAAGGTTTCTTTTTTGCCTTCTTTGTTAATCGAGGGCTCGGCATAACATAGTTGTTGTTGAAAGTCGGACGTTTTAACCACTCTAGAATTTCCACAATCATGTACCATCTTGCACTTCCCACTGATCTACCGTCACGCACCGTTGTCTGCACCCCTTACTGTACCCATGCACCTGTACACACGCATGCCACTTCACCTCGCCACAATCGTACCTATCCTTTCCATCTCAACTCGAGAATCCGTCCAATCTTCAGGGTCGTACGTTCCCTCCCTGCTCACCTCCTACGAAGACCCGATGACTCTCTTCCAGCTGGCCTCCTCTACCCCCAACGGCTCCATCTTCCTCACCTCAACGCCATCCACTGCACCATGGGGGGCGGCCTTCACACCGCAACCCATCACCCTCTTCCTCTCCACCAACAAAAAGCAGCCCTGCGACCAGCCCATTGCCTTCTCCGTCTCGTTCACGTTTCGCATGACCCCTGGTGCTGCTACCTCTGGTAACAGCATTGCAGGCGAGGGCTTGGCTTTTGTAGTCACTGCATTGGCACCTCAGGGGGCTGCAGCGGGGGTGGGGCTGGGAGGGCTGGGGAAGCGGAGTGTGGCGGTGGAGTTTGACTCGGTGCTGAGTGTGAAGCACAGCGACCCCAACGACAACCACGTGGGCGTCAATGTGGGCGGCTCACCTGTGTCCCTCGCCTCTGCCACGGCCCCTCTCATCCTCAACGACGCCCACACCAAGCACGCCTGGATCCACTACGACCCCACCAGCGCCAGCACCCTCCGAGTCTTCCTCTCAGCCTCCAGGCAGCAGCCGTCCAAGGCTGTGCTGACGGCGAGAGTGTCTCTGTGCAGCGCGCTTAAGCCCACCCTAGGCAATGCATCCTTCCTCTTCGGCTTTGTGGCGGCTGCTTTGAACAAATCCCAGAGGCACGACATCCTGTCGTGGAAGATTACAACTTGTGAGTACCATCAACAGAAATGTTCATCATCACAGCTATGGACCTCAAAATCTTTCAGCAGTGAATGGTTGTGCTCGAAATTGGACACTTACATGCGTGTATTTCTGTGTGCATGCCTTACCGCACACTGTCTATGTGCTTTTGGGAGTTGTGTGTGTGTGCAAGGTGCATGCACGTGTGCGTGTTTGTGTGTGTGTGTGTTTCCGTGTGTGTTTGCATGTGCATGCGCATGTTCGTGTGTGCATCTTTGTGTGCATAATCCAACGCGCAGGCATACCTCCGGCTGTGGAGTGGCAGAACGACGCCCCTGGTAAGCATATCACCTAGAAGTCCTCGCATGTTCGCAATCCTTGTTTCCTTCCAAGAGTTACGCAAGCCTTCGGCATTACCCTCGCCTAGGGTGTTACTATTCCCACAAAAAACCAGATCCTTTTTTCTCCACAACCCTCCATGATGAACAAGCAGGCAAAGCATTTGGGCAGGTGGCATTGGCAGAGGAGGTGGCAGCAGGCAGTGAAGGTGGCAGTGTGCCCTCCACCTTCCACTATGCCAGCCACGCCTTTCAAGCGGAGAGCCCAGTTACGAGGCTGTATTGGAACCTTCCACCTTTCGTTTCTTGGATGCGGAATGAGGCAACATGGCCCGTGAAGAACCAGCATGGATGCGGTATGGCTCAAATGGCATGGATGGGTGTGATTGATGGGATATGGAATTGCAGCATAGGTGGAAAAGGGACCTCACAGTGGGCCCTCCTCTTTAACCTCCCACTGTGCTGCGCCCCTCCATGCATTCCCACTTCTCTTTGCTCTGCGTTCCCATCCCCTCTCCGGCCTGCAGCCGACTCCTCAGCATACGCAGTGGTGGCGGCGGTGGAGGCGGCCTACAGCATCGCCAGCATCGGGTCGCAACCCCCCCGGCTGTCGGTGGACCAGCTTCGGCTGGCCCTGTCGTCCAACTGCGACGACATGCCTCCGCGCGATGTGCTGGCCTTCCTGGTGGCTGCCACGCGCAAGGGAGAGGGGCTCGTGGATGACACAGCAGCAGCAGCAGCAGCAGCGGCCGCCAGTCCACACAGCATGGTGTCCGCCGGCCGGCGCGAGAGACTGGCCGCGGTGAGTCGCAGCGAGTGGGGATGGTGAGTCGCAGCGAGTGGGGATGGTGAGTCGCAGCGAGTGGTGGGTGCTGGTACTCTCTCATGCTTGTAGGGATGGCTGCAAGATGAAGGTGAAGAATGGAATTAGGGCAGAGCATTGGATGTTGCCTGCCCAACCCGTGGCTGCTTGCACTTGGAATGAAAACAACCACCTCTCATATTTTTCCAACGCCATCACTATATATATCTCTATTTCTTCTTTTGCACTGTCTAGCGCTTACTGTTTTGTGGACTCCCCTGCCTCATTGCCTGTCCTTCCTGTCTTTCAGAAGATCAAGTACTACGGCATTCAAAGCTTTGAGGAGACATCCTTCGATAGATGGCTGGGTTTGCTGCTGGCAGTGCAGCGGCAGCCAGTGGTTGTGCGGATAGAGGCTTCCGCACAATCGTTCTTCGAGTATGATGGGGTGAGATACCATGCTGTCAGAAGGGGAGACGCCATGAGATACTGATGCACTCAATGGGGGCAGTGTAGAGAAGTAGTTACATGCGCAGAAGAAAATTCTCTCTTGGTAGACATGTCACATTGAGGAATTGATTTGAAATGGGTCGCATTTTCCTTGTATACTGCTTCCCATCCCCCAATGCACCCCCAGACATACAAGTATGCGGATTCTGGCTGCTTTCAGGAGGGGATGAATCATGCGGTGCTGCTGGTGGGCTATGCCTTGCAAGGCAGCACATCCAGCCCTTTCACCTTGCCTGGGCCCCTCTGGGTGATCCGCAACTCATGGGGCACAGGATGGGGGTACGCAGGGCACATGTTCATGGACATGCAGAGCGGATCAGGCGTGAGTGGCATCAACACATTGCCGGGCATCTTCCCCATCCTCCGATGTACGCTCAGAGCAGTGGGTTCATGGCTCCTCATGTGCTACTTTTTCTGGCATGTTTGCTGCTCCAGGGACCATGGATGCCTCTTGTGCCATGCATGAAGCCATATAGGGCCCCCTCCCCATGCATGCTGCGAGTTCTGCCATGCCAATGGTTTCTCCTGTCTCTTTATGTTGGATCACGTGCTCCATCTCCGCAGCTTTTCTCATCTGTATGTGGTGCGTGGTGTGTGCGTGGTGTGTGCATGGCAGCGTCTGCTGACCCGTGTGGGAGCAAGTCTGTGAAGCTGGCGGGCTCATGGGCGGTGCCAGGGAGCAAAGCGTTCAACCCATGTGGGCAGTTCAAGTGCTCCAAAGCCGGAGCATCCAACTGCTGTGCCTGTGCTGCTCCCCACTTCGTCCAGGCCGCCCACCCCGACGGCTCCAACACCTGCGCCTATGGTGAGCTTGCTTTTGTGTCGACTCAAAAGCACCTGCGCCTATGGTGAGGCCAGCCCACCCTCATGCTCCCTCGCACTCTTCTACCTGCCCGGTCCCACTCACCACTCACTTCAACATCTCCTTCCTCACTCTCTGCCCTGCCTGCCGCCGCCAGTGGACGCCTGTGGGCTGGCTGGCAGCAACCCGTGTGTGGTGGGCACGTGTGTGAACGATGGCAAGGGCAGCTACTCCTGTGTGTGTCCCCCGGGGTTCGTTCAAGGCACCACCATTAAGGGAAGCCTCTCCTGTGCTCCTGGTACGCTCCTCCGCGCTCTTCTCCTCGCTGCCCATTCTCAGTTCTTCAACAGGACATATCAGCGTTCTTGTGTCAAATGCTGAAACAAGTGAAACTGCCAGGTTTACGCATGTTTGCTTGAGCGTGAGAAACATGTGTAACTTATTTTTACGTCTTGCTCATGTTGATGCTTCGTGCTGCATGCAGGTGACAGCAAGGGCAGCTACACAGTGCTTGGCAGCAATGTGTGGTGCTCCCAAGTGCTGCCTGTGTTCGGACTCACTCTCGACCAACTCTTGCAGCAGAACAAGGTGAGCACAAATTCTCTTAATCTCCTACCGTTCTACCACCCATGGTATTTCATTTCAAGCCGTTAACCACTTCTCGCTCTCTCGTACGTGCAGAAGCTCTCCTGCACCAAGCCCCTCCCAGTGGGATCTAAGCTGGTTGTCAAGACGACCCAATCCCTCCCAAACTGCTCGCTCTTCTACACCGTCCAGCTTGTGAGTGCTCCCATACCACAAGGGCACATATTGTTTTTACAAGTTTCATGAAGAGAAATCTACAATTTTTGCACAGCAAAAGCAAAATTGGCACATGTATAATACCCTCAAATGATTTGCTTGTCACGTGTGCAGGGGGAAAGCTGTGTGACAATCGCTCAGCAGTTCAATCTGAGTGACAGGTGTCCCGGGGATGGCGATCAGGCATGTGTGGATGCGTTGGTGGGGCTCAACCCTAGGCTCAACTGCTCAGAGCTCATGCGTGGTCAGGTCGTGTGCGTAGAGCGCGACGAGAGCAGGGCGGGGGAGGTGGCAGTGTGTGATAAGGAGTACCTTGTCCAGGTGTGTGGCAGCTGTGATGCTGTGATGGCGGCTGTGGATCCACCTTTGAGCCCACTGGAGTTCTACCGCCTCAACCTAGGCATCAACTGCAACTGCTTGTTGACCAATTTACCATATACCTATTCGCGGCGCAAGGTGAGGACACTTCATTAGTGTTACAGTGCCATAGCAGATTGAGAGGCTTGATCACTCACATATCTCCATGGTTGTCCTGCTGCAGCTTTGCATTGCCAGCAGCACAAGGTACAAGACTGGCACCTGCCCAGGGGGCACCTACAGCGTTGCAGCTGGAGACAATTGCACCATGATTGACGTCAAGGGGTTTGCCAGCATAAAGGGGTGCTACAGGAAGATGAATGGCTTTGATTGTTTGGAGAAAATGCCGCTCGGGACAACTGTCTGCACCCCTGACGCTTCTGCTGCTCGAGTTGGGATATGCTCCATGGGATAGTTTTTCGCACACCTTTTGGTCTGAATTCAAATTGGGGTTTTGGCTGGGTAAATTTGCCCAGGATGCTGTGTGGATTAGAGGAGAGACATAGAGGGGGGTAATCTTCGCTCAGTAGAACTTCTAGGCCTATGGGTAGAAGTCTTGAATGGTATACTCAGTTAAGAATATCGTATGGTATAGTTATTTGTAGCCGTCATGTCTTGCCACAACGGACTGAGGCTAGGTACGTATTGGCCCAAGGGTTTTTAGTCATACGGTACTACCTACTGTACAATAAAATTTGGAGCATATTTCAGTATGTGTTCTATGGTTTTGATGGCTATCACAAATCATCCACACCTAAAGAAACCACTCATGAGACAAACTTCCTTTTGTAAAACGGATAACATATTCTTGTACTAGTTTCAACCATAGCGCGTGGCACTGATTATGTTCACATGCAACTTGTTGGGCTGACATGAAGCTTTTCTGAAGTTTGAAGATCATGAATAAATGGAAGTTTTGAACCCCAGTGCTAGTACGGTACATGACAACAAAGTCTGAGAACGAAGAAATAGAAGAATATGATACTATTCTAACATAAAAAATGTCTTGAAGCATGAAAGCATGACAAAAAGCATGATGACAAGGACGAGACAAGGCACTAGTAAACTCTGAAAGACACACTGGAATGTTAGGGATTGTAGGCCCTGATCTCACCCTCGCTAAGCCCTGGATATTCAGTGAGGTCAAACTGAGCACCACAATCTAGTGTGGCACACATGAACTTCGACCCAACATTCCTTGCACAGGCTTTGCCATTGTAGACAGAAAAATCTGCAGCTGCTTCGCTCGCAGTACCACCATAGAAGCTGTAAGCACCAGAGCAGGTCAGCGATGGTGACACATACTTGGGCCGGCCAATAGTGCATGTGCCGAGTTGAAATGACCAATATTCCGCTCTCAGGCACACCTGGGGGTGCAAGTTTGGCAGAAAGATAAGAGGGAGATGGAAGACAAGAAGAATGCAAAAAAAGACAAGACACATGTTAGGAGTGCAACGAAGGGTTGGGATTCAAAGGATGGTAAGTGAACAACGCGGGTGAACATCCCCACGTCCTCAGTCTACCACATCCCCCCACATTCTGAGTCTACCACCTCCCCTGCCCAGACCTGTTTCTGCGCCAGTTTCAGCCCTCACCTGCACGCCGTTTCTGCCAACAGCCGTAACAGAGGCAGGGATGGTGCCGGAGCAGACAAGATCGGGATTGTTGCGGTAGAGCTCAGCCCAGTTGGATGGATTGTTCTGCAATCCCAAAACCTGCAGCAGTTGCTCACACGTGTCCTCTGCTGTGAGCATGGTGTATTTTGCACACTGGGGGAAGCTGTAAGCGTAGGTTTCATTGCGCTCCACACAGATAGAACGGCTGGCCTCAATGGTTTGAGTGCAGTCAAGCCCGGGGTTGAGCTTCAGGAGATCAGTCATGGTGGTGCGAAGAGAGGTGGCAATGGAAAGACATGTGTCGCCCTGGAGCATGAGGGGAAGATGGACACCGGTGAAAGATGGTGAGTGATGATGATTTACAAAACAGTGAAGGTCACCTACAGCTCAAAATGCCCGATGGGATGATACAATGCTAATGCGCGGCGATGCCGTGAGTACAGTGTGATGCGGATGGATTGAGCTCGAGCAAGAGTGGTGCAGGAACCGGATGAATTCACTAATATTTATACGGGGCTCTAGTGCTCACACTGAGGGTGTAAAAGGAGGCAGTGCAGGGAATGGTAGGAGTATTGGCGATCTGAAGCACCGTCCCTTTAGGCAAGGATTTTTTGCACACAAGTGCCTGCATCAAGAAGCACATGCATAGGAGACAACCAGAGGCTCAGATTTGACAAGCACAAAGAAGCACACGGATGGGGGGTGCGAACCAGTTGCAGCCCATCTCACCCAGCCCCTTGTGCCCTTCCAAATGCCATTACTCCTAAGGCTGCTCCTCCCATTCCCTCCTACGCTTGCCATGGGAGCAAAGAAGAACATCAACCAACAAGCCAGTCACTCCTACCATTGTCCTTCCAGTCCCCCCTGCCGGTGCGATGGATACCATGATCCGAGTCTTAGTTGTTACATTCTGAAATATCCACCAAGTTCTGCTCTCACAAAACTAGGCAGTCCAGAGAATTCAAATTGCAACCTTCAAGTAGTTACTGGCTTCACCTCGTTACAACAGCACATGACGAGTATCGAGTTGACACAAAATTCAACCTTCCTTTCTCTTTCTTCCTACCGTGTTCTGCTGCGTGAACTGCGTTAGGGAGAGGCCCACAAGAGGATACACGTCAGAGCACAACCAGTTGTCACCCCCCACAGTAATTCTCGTGGTGGTGGTGTTAGCTGGTGTGGTGGAGACAAGGAGAGAGGGGGGGAAGGGGGCACATTGAAGTAGTTGAGGCGAGAGATTAGTAAATTGGTGTGTAGTTTCACATATTACATTGGGGAAGAAGCACGGGCAAGAGGCTCTTTGCAAATGGAAACGACATGAGGACCTGGCTTATCATGGCATGCATTGCATGAGTGGCTTTGCCTTTTGGGCGCCTCATAGCTCAACTGGCGACTGTGAGCTGCATTAACAGGCTATTTTTGGGGATAGAGGAAGGTTGGGGAAGAGCAGAACCTGGGTCACATGTGGGGAAGTTGTCAACGGTTGTGCTGCTGACGTAGTTGGGAGGGCAGATGCAGGAGTAGGAGCCATTGCCGTTGTTGATGCATGTGCCCACGGAGCAAGGGTTCTTTAAGTACGAACCACACACGTCCACTGGTAAGGGCGGAGGTGAGAGAGGGAGAGGTTTAAGTGGATGGAGTTAGAGAGTCTTCTTGATGTGAAAAGTAAGGGGAAAAATAAGGGTGGGCGTGCGTGATTACTTACCCGCCGTGTCTGATCGTCCTCTAAAACCGTCTCTCACGATGTCAATTGGACACGTAGGTTGGGTTGATCGCACACAGAAACGTATATCTAGCACACATATAATAAAGTACGCACAGCATACGGCAAAAGAACGTGTCTCACCATAGACACAGGTGTTTCCATATCCGTTTGGAGCCTCAACAAAGGGCTGCTTGGTCTGCGCAGGAAGGGTGCAGTTGCAGGTGTTGCTGTTGGTCTTGGTGATGGGTGTGCAGATGAAGCGACCGCACGGGTTCATGGTGGGCTGAAGATCTCCATTGCCCTTGTAGCTCTTCATGCCACATGGGTCTCCTGGGACTTCATGGCACAAAATCACGACAAGAACGTGGAATTGAGCATTTAGAACACAAGGCCGTGCAGGAAACGGGCGACTGGCATAAAAATGAAAAGAGAAGAAAAGAAGGAAAAGTGAAACTCATATTGCCAGAGACGGAGAACAGATAGATAGCTGTTTTAAATAGTTTGGTACTGACAATGCTCCACATGCCCCAGTCTTGACAGTGGGTCAGACTAATGCCCATGCCATCTGTATGGGTAGATAGTATAATCTTGATAATAGCGTGGTAGATGTCTCATTCTTGACAATGGGGTAGATGCCAGGCAGCACGTTGATGCCACACACGCCATCCCCTCCCTGAATGTCCATGCGCATGTGGCCCCTGTCTCCCCACTCCTCGCCCCATGAGTTGTGGATGATCCAAAACGGAGGCGCAATGTAGTTCTCACTCCCATTATCTCTCAACATGCGGTAACCAATAACGAGTACAACGTGATTAAGGTTGCCAGTGAAGCAGTCAGGGTCCTGGTATTTGAGGTTCTGGAAACACAAGGCCAATGAGAAAGAGCAATGTAAAGAATCGGGCATACATAAGGCGTGGAAGCATCACAGAGGTAAATGGTCAAATTGAAAATATGGGTAACTATCGTGCATGGCTGACCACACACAGATTCACGCAAACACACACACACAATCACACACTTACACTTACACACACACACACACACACACACACACAAACACACACACACACACACATACACACATACACACACACACACACACATACACACACACACACATACACACACACACACACACACCAGGTAAAAGGCTTGCTGATTTTGGCATCCTCAACATTCTAGGGCAAACACGGAGAATGTCGAAGCAAATTGCTGAGCTACAAAAGTCGTCCTTGCCTGTCAGCTCCACTGGTTCTAGCCATTCGCATGGTGCGATTCCAGACTTCTCATAACTTTGCTCGAATCACTGATGTTGGAATGTCAGGGCTATGGTTGAATTGGCATGCAAGTGCGCACTTTAGGCAACAGAATTCAAATTGGTAGCAGCTGGACTACCTGTTGCGACAATATCTGGTTCAACCTGAACAGCTTCCAGTTCAGTTCAACCGCCTGGCTGTGGTTCAAACCGTTGTAGAAGGATTGACACACTCATGCCTATTATAACCATATGAGTGTAATTCATGTACCCAAGTTCACTTCTAATCATGGTCTCCCTCGTGGCCAAAATACGTTATCTCATCCGAGATTTGCATCAACATCCTTATTTGCACGCCAGTGGAGCTCATTCTATTCCATGTACCTTGTGTCATCACCATCATTGCTTGCATGGCTTTCATAAACCTTATTGCATCCTACAACCTCAATGGTTTGGTTCGGATACCCTCATTCCTTCCCAAAACCCCACTAATCACATTCCCTCTCATAAGCAACTCATCGTTTTGCGGACAAAATCCATTTCAGATACTGGCTTACTTTCCACAGAGAGACATCAGTAACATACCTGAGCCAGATATGTTGCTTTCACTACTGCTGCTATCCCATAGTGACATACCTTATTGCCTTCCATGGTGATGGCACCACCAGGCAGAGACACCAGCTTCTTAAAGGCATCAGTCGGGGAGCCTCCAGCAGTGCACTTGGCTGCCTGGGTGGTCAGATTCATGGCTGTGAAGAGTGAGTCCACTGACAGCTGCGGCGCCTCTAGATTTGTTGCGATGCCGTATGCTGCTTCTATGCTTGACGCCACTGCGAATGCCCAGGATGCGTCTGAAGGAGAGCCAAAGGAGGAGCACAGAAGAAGGTGAGAGGGCACAGAAGGAACGCAGAAGGAACATCAGGAGCCTTCATGGTGACCACATGGAGCAGTGCCGGTGAACAAGGCAGATTGCAAGAACGGAGTGCAAATAGGCACTGAGAACCTGGAAATCCACAGAAACTCGAGTACTAGGGAGAATCATGCATGGAGCATGTCCTGCCCAGGCTATTGTTGCGGACCCTCTGCTGAAGTACACTTACTGCAATCGCCTTGGTCCTTGACGGGCCAGCCAAGGAAGGGCACGGAGTCCCAGGAGTGGAAGTCCCGGAAGACCCACGAGTCCTTCTGCCCGACCGACACTCGGTAGTCCACACTCACATAGCGCGATAAGGGGCTCACTTGTGCAGGCACGAATGTGTACAGTGATAGGTTCAAACCGTAAGCTGTAGTGGGAGAATCAATGTCAGCAGTTAGTGGAATTGGGGGCAAAGGGATATGGACAGGGTGGGCAGAAATGGGATGGGAACGTGCAGTTGCAGGCAGGTGGGAGAAACGAGAAGTTGTGTAGATGTTTAGAGCAAATGCAGGTGATATGAGAAGGAAAGTAATCATATCTATACTTCCAACCGAAGGGCTTGTCCAGTCAATGGCAATCACTGGGTCGGGTGCCGGCCCAACCTCGGTCTGCCCCAATTTCAGGCAGGCCAAAGATATGTTTTTCTAGTGCCATCCCATTTCCAAATCGCCCACCTCAATAAGTTGTTTCTGGACCTTCCCTTGATTCTATGAGCTAATCCATGAACGTGTATAGAAAAAAAACCGCAAGTTAGGCTAGGCCAGGCCCGTCCCAACCACGCCGGCCTGGATTGGGCCACTGCAGGGTGAGGGCTGACAATGTATTGACACTGGTCTGACCTGGGCTGACAATGTTTTGACACTGGTCCGGAGCGGTCAAGAGAAATGCCCACACATGTCAAATTCTACTCATGACCAGGAAGCGACAAATAGAGATGCTCTCTGGCGACTGGTACATTGATTTATTTGGGTGCAAACAATTGCTGGGCTCGTGACTTGCCTGGGTTGATGTCGACCGACTCCCGTGCAGGAGGAGCATCTATCACGGAGAAAGCAGGCAAAAAGGAAAGGATCAGAAGGTACGGAAGGGATTTGGGGCGAGGAGCAACCTCTTGGTAGGGTATGATAGGCGTCAGTGACAAGCAATCTATTGGTACACAAAGCAAGCATCCCATGAGGTCCATCCACCAGTGAGACCTAGGGGAGGGGGCAGCGCTTATGATTGAGGGCGATGCAAGATTCCTCCTACCTGTGCGCAGAGCAGAGCGGAGAATGCTTTGCACCATGAACGGCTTCACTGTGGTGGACGCGACGAAGCCAAAATAGAACGCGCGTGGCTGCTGCTGCATCCCCTCCCCCTGCGGCTGCGGTGGTCCCGGCTTCAGCACCGCACACAGTGACAGCCGCCTGTCTAACAGCGGCTTCTCAGGCTTCACTGTTGTTTTTGCCAGGAACACCTGGACTGTGCCAGGATCCCCTGGTGCATAGTCCACCCACGCCGTGTATGCCTGCTTGTTGGCCAGTGGGAATGGGGACTTTACAGTGGTGATCGATTTGTCATGGCCCTGGATGTTCAGCCCCACGTGCTGATCTTTCATATCGTCATGTGTCTTGGTTTGGAGCACGTCAAACTCTATTGCCATGCTTTGATCGTTCATCCCTCCGTATCCCACTCCATCACTTCTCCCCACATTTTTTGTTGCCGAGATGACAAAGGCAAAGCCGTTAGAAACGGCCTTGCCTTTAGGCGAAAGGGAAAAGGTGAAATTGACACTGATGGCCAGCTCAAGCCCACAACTAGGGTCCTCTCGCCCGTCCTCGTACAAAAAAAGGGGTACTGGATCCACAGTGAACTTTCCAACGGTCTCCACTTTGAATCCTGCTGTGAGCACCATTGATGGTGGAAGTAACGTTTTTTCAACTGGAGAGGCAAGGACCGATCCTGGAAAAAGGTGGAGAAGGATGGGAAGGAGCAAAGAAGGGAGGGAGAAATGATCATCTTAGTGGGGTTGTGAGAAGTTGATAATTGGGCAGCCCTTAGGGGTGGTGTGAAGTGAAGTGTATATTGAATAATGATGCGTTGTTGACTGTAGGGAGGCATAAGATCGAGGCAAAGATCGTGTTCCAGAGCAAATGCACATGCCTTCAATGAACTCAAGTATGACTCCATTTACCTTTAGCAAGACAATATGTCCTTCGATATGTGTAGAACCCTGTTTCACACAAGCAGGTAGGTACCAAGGTAGGTCCATCGGGATAGCATGTCACCCCATGGCCGTTGCAAGGAGGAGAGGTGGAACCAATTGAGATGCCACAAAACGCCTGGCATGAGGACTGAGGGCGTTGCACCGGCTTGGTTTCTCCCTGCGCGAGCTTGAAGCAGTTGGCATCCAGCAAGTCTGGCTGCTGCGGTGCGAGAGTGCCCGAGAGGTAAGCACAGCCAGCATGTTAGCAGGCTTCACAATGGCGCCTGTGAAATAGTTGTGAGAGAGGTCGCTGTGGGCGTGTGGTTGCGGGGGGAGGGGGGGGGAGGGGGAGGAGGGAGCACCTTAGTCAGTTCAGAGAACCTCACAGCGACAATGTGACAACAGTATAGAGACACATACCATGTGTGATTGTTGTTAGATATGAGTAGATGAAGATGCTGTGCAGGTGTGAGGACAGGAGTGAAGTTCACAGTAGCCATTTCAGTAGAAAGCAGGAGACAACAGTTGCGAAAACAAATGAGAGAGAACCATTGCAATTATAGTGATCCTGGAAATGACAATATTACATCGTGAGCCATGTTCTCTCACATTCACAGTGAGTATTTTCCAAAAAATAGGCCCTCACCTCAACTTTACTCCACGTTGTCACCACTACCCCTTCTCAAGTGGTTGCCACTCCCAAATGACCACCCATCCCATTGTGCCTCTCATTGTTAAGGCCAGGGGTGTTGTGATTGTTTGTCTTGAGTATGTGAGGATTATAAAAGCAAGGATTAGCATCATGCTCTAGAGCATGGTATGCAATGATCGAGTAAATCAGCAGTTTTCTTGGGAGTGTGTTATGATCAAACGAGTGCACTCACCTGGAAGGAAAACATGTGTGTGAGTGCAGGCGCATGTATGTGAATGAACGAGCATCACATACAAAGTTTTGAGGTTCGTGAGCAAGGTGACAGCATCTGGTATGCTTCCGAACAGATGGTTGTTGGCTAGAGATGTGGGTGCCATCACAGTAAAGGCATGGTGAAGGCATGTGAATGAACGGCATTTGACAAGCACGTGTGCATGCACACATGGAAGAGGAGAGGTGAGGTACAGGGAGAGGGGAGGAGAGGAGAGTAGAGGAGGGGAGTGGATAATAGAAGAGGAGAGGAGGGGAGATAAAAAGGGAGGAGCAGAGAAGAGGAGAGCGGATGAGAGAAAATGAGAGGAGACAGCACTATACTGGTGGAGCCTGGAAGGAGAAAGGATGGTGAAGTGGAGGTTCATGACCAATCCAAAGGATCTCGCTGGTGAAGATGAAAGAGCCGGTCTTGCACGTGATGGCAAGATACCATGGTGACAATCGTTGGTGGAGTATAAACAGTAGGTGCTATTAATGGCAAGACTCCTTTGTGGCTGCTAACGAAGCTGTGGCGGTAGAGTGTAAGCAGTTTCTGCATCCATAGACGAACGTTGAGGTGTATTGCACGCCCATGGACTATTCAAATTCTCTGGTTGGTCATTGCAATTGCCAGTTCCCCAGCATCATCCCAGGATGTGCATGCATGTAATGCTTCCTATTATTCAACCCCTGTGTCATTCTCCTTGGCGCATGAGGTTTCTAAACGCATCAGGGTTTGCCTTACAGCTCCTAGAGACCCGTCAGTTCGAAGAGGCTCTCTGGAATTGGGCCCGTCAGCTTGTTCAGCCTTAGATCCCTGCCATGCAAAGGAGACATATGGGACACACAGGGGGGGTAGGAGGGGGTGGGGGGGGAGGGGGGGGGCTATTAGGATAGGGCACAGGAGGTGTCTGCCAAAGAAGTGTGCATATAATGGACAAGGAGCACGTTTCTAAAATGTCTAAAGAGGACTGTACTGTGTGCCATTGTAGAAATCGAAAGGAAATATGAAAGGGGTGAGAGGGCAAGAGGAGAGCATCCTGAGCATTGGCAGACAGGACTAGAAAGATGGGAGCTCGTTCCAGGAGGGCTTACATGTTAATGAGCTTTCGTAGGGAACTAAATTCCGATGGGATGGAGCCCGACAGGTCATTCATGGCTAAGTTCCTGTAATCAGCAGCAGCAGGAAAATAAAAGCAAGAGAATCATCTATACAAACAGCAACTGCTAGAGTGCTTCAAACGAATGAGGTAGCAGCAGCACAGCAGCGACATTTGGCATGTGTGCCAAATGCCTGCTGGACATGAACCACCTGTGAACTTCAAAGGTAATAACAAATTATGACGACCTGTGCAGTAACATCCACTACAACCGCCCCAACGATCTGGCTCTGCATAGTCGGTACACAAAGGTCAAACTAAGCCGTTTTGCACGCCAATATTCATGGCTTAGAACAGGAGCTGTAAACAGCCGCTCACAGCTTCGTTTCTTATTTGCTCTACTATTGTAAAATCCTCCTTAACATTCTCAGAACCATTTTTTCAAGGTTCTAGAGAACCCCACCAGTCCAAAACATCAATATCCATTAGGATAAATCAAGATAAATTTATCCAACATCACGACTTACAGCGTTTTTAAGTCTTAAAGGGAGCGGATACCAGAGGGGATCATGCCAGTGAGCCGGTTGTTGCGTAAAGACCTGCGTTGGTGAAGCATACACAAAAAACACAGCAGATGGGATTGGTCAAACGAAGCACATTTGTAGCGTGATAACTGATGTGGTTAGATGAGGTACAAGATGTGCTGCATGCAGGTAGTGCCTGCTCTCATGGTTTTAAATTTGGGTACAAAGGGCGAGATGTAAAGTGCGGAAGGGATTAAAGGAGAGAATGCATGATAAACAACGAGAATAGGTAAGATGTTTTTTATAATACGAATTGGCTACTAGGAAGACATAATTTGTTTCACAAATGACAATGCGAATAAGTGAGAGTCAATGAGCTACGTGTTGTCAGGAAACCGTTTATGGATGGGTGAGAGAAAGACATGGACAGGGGATTTCATAGAATGGAATGGAGTACAGAGCAGCACGAATGAGGAGAAGACAACAAGAGACTTGCGAAGTAGAACACTAGACTGTCTTGCTCAAGTCTAGAGCAGAGAAAGGGGGTTTAAAAAACTGGCTAACACTTATCTGAGGGCAAACAAAATACTGACAGTAAACACTATCTATCTGGGGAGTAAAAGCGGTCGCAGATGTTTTAGAGAGATCAAGGAGGAGGCAGGGACGAAGAGAAGAAGGTTGCTGAGAAAAAACAGGGAAGGGCCTGAGAGATGGATCTTAAGAGGTTTGAACCGGAGAGAAATATGGGACCAAGAACAGCAGACTGGTACATCTCATGTCGGAAACCCTCCATCCATCCTCCTGCCCTGCTCCCCGTCACCTGCTCTGCTCAGCCCTCCCCTGGCTTGATTCACTGGTTCTCTTCTTCCACCGATTGTACCTTGCAGCTCCTTCACATGATCCTCTTCTCAGGAGTCCTTTCCCACCTCTTTCCTTTCCTCTCTCCCTTGTGCCCTACCCCACCTTCTGCTTTCCCTTATCCACGCTGGTTCCTTCTTCGGACCCTCCTTGCCCCCTCCCATGGCGCAATGCCGCTGCCCTCGCGCGCGTCATGGGACACTGGGGTCCGCCCTTCGCCGTCTCTGAGCGGATCCTGGCCACATTCGTCACATGGTCTGCCACCCGCTTCCCTTTTCCATCCTCCGGCACGATTACTCCCGAGGGGCGCACCTCCTTCACGGTCCAACGCTGCTGTGAGAGCCCCACATCGAGCGCATGCTTGCGCTGCCTCCTGATGTACACCTCATCCTCCTCCTGAACTCCTACCGCTGCACCCTTGCCATTGGCCTCTTGTCGCCGCTTGTACCGCTCTATGTCCCTCAACTGGGCGACGTGCAGGTTTTCCAGCGCCACTGGCAGTAGATGCCTCAGATACGCCGCCCACGTGTCCGCCACCGCGACCCACTTTTCTGGCGAGCCTGTGGTGATCACGTCCACCAGCAGCTTTGGTGCTCCCACTGGCAGCACCGGCTCCTTACCAAACAGCAGATAGTAGGGGTAAACATCCTTTAACGCCGCCTGCTTACTGAAACGGTACCCCGCCATGACCCAGCAGAGCTTCCTATCCCAGTCCCTCTTGTGCTCCTCCCCGTATGCCCTCAGCCCCTTCTTCACTGTCTGGACCAGCCTCTCCGTAAGCCCGTCACTCTGGGGGTGGTAGCGCGACGTAGTCCTGTGCCGAATGCCGCTGGCCTGCAGCAGCTGGTCGAAGGCCCCGGAAAACTCCGTTCCCTGATCCGTCAGCACCTCTCCGCATGCCCCCAGCCTGGTGATCACCATCTCTTCAAACGCTTCCGCCACGGCTTCCGCCGACTTGTGCACCAGCGGCCTCGCCTCCGCCCACTTACTGACATGCTCCACCATGAGCAGTATATACCGGCGTCCCTTCGTGGTGACTGGCAGTTCCCCTGCGATATCCAGCGACCAGCG